ACCATGTTCATTTGTTGCTCTGAAATAGAGATACTGTATGCATGCTATATCACAGTAACGATATACTTGGCTACAATCTCTCCGTCATGATCTTCAATTGAGCAATCAGAGATTGTCAGTCTGTAGAAGCCATCAGCTCCTTGGATATCGACACCACCTTCTCCATGTTTCAACTAGAATACATTAATATGAATAATCTATATTAGTAAACAATCACCTCTTTGCCTTTGAGAGTAAAGACGAGAGTTGGCTCCGGCCAGCCATTAACATCTACTTCAAATACAGCCTGTAAGGAGAAATAGCGTTTTCTTCTGAATTCCGAAAGAAATAAGCTTACTTGTCCTTTTTCTTGAACAACTTTATCTTCTAGCAACTTGTTGAAAGTAGGAGGTGTAGGTGGAATTCTTACTTTCAAACGGCCATCACAAGTTGCTTGTCCAAGGCGGTTAGTACCCTGAAATCATATAATAGGAATATATATAACTTAATATATTCATATATCATCTAATTATATGTCAAAAAACAGATGAAGAAAACAAGAAAGATGATAGATGATGTAGCAGTATCAAAGAGGAATTGTGAAACAGTTGTTACAAAGAAGCTTATAGGTTAATATTCATAAATAACATTAATTTACCTGACAGGTGACAATTCCATCAAAATGTCTGGTGACATCCTTGATAATGAGAATGCAGATACCATCTTCAGAAATGAAACGAATCTTTTCTGATTCTGATAATGGAATTCCATTGATCATCCAGGTAATTTCAGGATTAGGATCTCCGGTAATGACGGCTTTGAATTTGACTTCATCTCCTTCATTACATTCGATATCATCAATCATTTGCTTTAAAATAGTAAAATTAGAAACCGTTATGCAATCAAACTCTTACCTGGAATTCTGGAGCTACATGGTTCTTATCTGGATCTGCTTGAACAACTAATTCGGCCTTGCTTTCAGCTGATCCAAACTCATTTTGGATTTTGACAGTATAAACTCCAGTATCGTCAGGTTGAGCATCTCTGAATTGAGTTGAGGGTTGAGTTCAAAGAATCTTATTGAACGATACCTGATCTCTAATTTTGCATATTGACCATCATAGCTAGGTTTGAAATCATGAGAAGGTCTTAAGGGTTGGTCATCAACAAGCCATACGAGCTCAGGTTCCGGCCAACCCTCGACTTCGCATTCAAAGTTAACAACTTCGCCCTCTTTGCACTCTTGGTCTTTGAGATTGTTGACGAAAGCAGGTGGTGCGGCTTCCTTTTCAACCTTCAAAACACGGAAAAAGGCGGAGGTAGAAGCTTGACCATATTCGTTAGTGGCCATGCATGTATATCTTCCAGTGTCTTCAACCTATTAATACATAATTAAACATATATGAATATATCACAAATGGTACCTGTACAGGATCAATGGTCATAGCAAAGAAACCATCTTCATCAGCATAGAATTTGTGACGTTCATCTTCATTGAGTTGTACATCATCCTTATACCATGTAATTTCTGGCAATGGATATCCAGTAACTTTCAAGCACATCTTAGCAGATGATTCTTGTAATGTACGAAAACCATATTGTGTTCTTGTTACACGTGTTCCTTGCATTTCTAATGTTGTTCCTGTTGTAGCTGCAAAGCAATTCAAAATTATTTTTTTTATTTTTAAAATTATTATTTCTTTTTTCATTATTATCAATCTATGATGGGTTTTTGTATTCTTTCATAAGATCATAGCATGATATTATCAAATATACGCCCCCACCAGATCACCTACTCAGAAAATGAGTTTGTCTCTCATATTTCTCCGACTCTTTCTTCTGTAAGATTAGCGTCCCGTACAAATCTCTTCAAACTCACACTTCACATGAAGGTAAACCCTACGATCTTGTATCTTCATAGACGTACACCTTTTTGTCTTTTTTTCTCTACTTTCTCATTTTTCTCAAAATTGATAAAAACCAAATGAACTTGAGACGTGGAGAATTAAGGTGTTCACATTCATCTGTTCTATCTCTTAAGCTTCATATCTATCTACTGCTTGGCCAAGCCATTCGCATTACATTTCGCAAAGAAATTTCTTGAGAAGATAAAAGATAAAATGGCTGCCAAGGTTCTTCTATAGACTAAGCATAGATCTATTGATTCTTTCAATCATAGCGTCTCTTCGTTAGTTTGTCCCATTCACTCAGTCTCATTTACTTCATATATATCTTCATTCCCAAGCGACGATAAGATATTTATGAAAATGTGAGAGAGCAAGACATCGAGAACATAAAGATGTAGATGGAAAGAAGCCAACTGACACATAACCGAACATTATCAAACAACAGCCACTGTGTCATCTATCTATGGTAATGTCATCATACAATCACATTAGCATAATCATATTCGAATGAGGATAAAATGATAGTATTGTTGTTGTTGTTGGTCATTTAATCAAGAAGCTTGTATGAGATTTCGTTGATGACAATAGAGTATCATTCTATCACCTACCATATATGGCATATCCAATTGATATGATAGATATCTGATATTCATATTCTCATGCAAGTAATCAATGATGACTTGCCAGAGTATACATTCAATTTTGTGCACAAAATGCCCTAAGACTTTTTACACTATCATCACGAAATTCAGGTGGGCGAAAGAAGAGATAGATTTAGAGAAATGCTTAGATATATAGATGAGTAAGAAGTTAAAGAACTATGCAATCAATGTACATGTTTCAACACCTCTATCTTACCTAATCAATATGTTACCTCACATAACCAATGTCTTACTTAATCAAAGAAGAAAAAGAAGAAGAACATTGAACGGGGAAAGCTGTGACTCTCTCTCTCTCTCTCAAACTTAAACGCTTTTCATCTAGTTCATACATTCATCATGTTTAAGCGCTCACAAAACTTATTTCATAATAAAAAAACAATAAAATATGAATTAAGCATACCCCAGTCAATACTGCTACTTCCACCAGAATAAATACTTGTCGTCGATCCGGTAGGCGAGATTACCGGAGGTGACTTGATCTTCTTTCTTGGTGGGCCTCCTTCTTCGGGACCTGAAGCATGAAAGCATGAATAATATATAATAATTAAATGATTATATCACTACAAATCACTTTTGTAACTTATGAACAAACATAAAAGGACATAACATATAGTGTTAAGCTTAACACATCACAAGCGTATTAACATATTGAAGCTTTAGACAACATGTTCGTATACCAGTCATAGTACTGCTCTTGCGTGAATGAGATGAATAATCATTCAAGTTAGACGGAGCTTCACTTATAGTGATATCCATATCAGTATTATGCTCATGGTTTTGAGCTAAAAATGAAAAAAAGAAAAATAATTACTTACACCATGATGGATCAACAAGTTCCAGTCCACCTTCTTCCGTATCAGTCAGTTCAATAATATAATAGACTTTGAGTACCATATTTGAATGATTTAAGTGATAATTGAATTATAATAATATAATTGTATATAATTCGTTTGTTGAGAGATTAAGAGATAGTCAGAGTATTTTTTAATTTCAATAATTCTCTTCTAACTCTTTTGGGGGGGTAGGCAAGGAGGATAGAGAGAGAGAAAATTGAAATAGCTCTACTACTCAAAATGAATTTGTCAATACACAGAAACAGATGAGAGAAAGACAAATTAATAAATACTGTTCTCAAGTACAATAGAATATCTACTGTTCCAAATATAAATCAAGGAAACAATAGAATAATATAGTTAAGAATGATTCTATTGTATGAATATACTGATTGATCAGTTAGGTTAGAGAAGATAACGCGAGTAAGAGTCCGGGGGGATGAAGCTCTTCTCTGACGTTATTTTCAAAAACTGATTCGAATGAACGGATAGCGAATAATCAGTTTGGACGTAAAAACTCTCAAAAGTTTGTCAGATGCCTCGCGGCATTCTATACCTGACGTAGAGCCACACCGGGGACGACACAATCGCAACTAGAGGTCGCAGAATGCGTCTGTTGGGATGCGCTATCGGGGCAAGCAGATTGAGGTGAAAGCAAGAGCTGAGGGAGAAGTTTATCTCCTGCTGTGTCTATATCTCTCGTTTTCTCTTCGATATTCTTCTGATTGTTTCTGCTCTCGGATATGAAGCTGAAGAAGAGTAGAAGACGTGTTTTAGAGATAATTATAAAATGAGAGATGAGATGAGATGAAAGAATTGAACGAAATGATTGTTAACACAAAAATTGAAGAATAGAGAAAGAAGCGTTACAGTTAGATTGTTGTAACGTTATGAGCGAGAGAGACGACAGATATATGGTGGGGTAGAAAGCATAACGAAAGAAGATAGGTATCTCCCACCATAGACGCTAAAAGTGAGATCAGCAATAGTGAACCACGTTAAGCATTGTAGACTCCAGATTGAGAGAGCATTACAACTCAAAACGCGTCTCTCTCAATTCAATGGCATATTTTTAACTATTTTTCTAACTCTCCATCATTATGCTTTGTTAGATCGTCAGTCTAAGGCTGGCAAGATGCATTATATTCAACGTCATTCCTCAAGCTCTTCTGGAGCTACCTAACCATCATTGTTAATGAGTATTCACCATTAGAGCGGTATGCTGTGAATCAAAGTTCTCATTTGGTTTTGTCATTCATTCTCATTTTATCTCAATTACCACCCACAACTTAATCTTTGACATATCTGCACTCTCTAACCTTCCCATCTATTTCTGTGTCATCAAAATCATACAAAACGAAAGAGAATGAAAAAGCGGAGGCGCGGGCGGACATGTGTATGTATAAAAGAACAGAAAAGCAAGGAAGAAAAAAAAGAGAGAAAAGAATAATGAGCTGACTTATAGAAGAAAGTGAACTCAAAATCGTCTTCAAACCATATGTATTTATTGAGGAATTCAAATAATCATTACGACACTCTAAGTCTCATTTATATAAATGAACTGCTTCAACGTATTTCATACTTCTAATTTCGGCCCCACCCCAAAGATATATAAAATACTAACCGTATTCCTCATGCTCTTCAGCAATATCACGTAGCCAAGCTTTTCGTACGAATTCAGCTTGTGATACATCGGTTGGTGTCAAACTAAGATATGATATTGTTTTAATAATCAACTTAACCATATTGCTTACGTAAAAGATGGTAATCCTTGTTCGTTTGGCTTCAAGATAATTACATCCTCGCTAATCGAATGCGTGCGTACAGAATACTTATCGAGCTACAAAAATATATTAATTTGAATAATCAATTAGAGATATGTAAGAACATACCCTAATAGTTGCATAATGTTTGTAAGAGACAGGTTCAGTGTATAACTTTTCAGTTATCATAACCTTGTTATTAAATAAGAAGACATAGCGTTCGTTAGGTGGATTACCTTCTCCTTCTTCAACTTTAAACATATCCTATAATGGTATGAGAATGTTATAAAGCTATATACAAGACATACGTGTCGTATTAATCGTCCGAGCTTATTTGTATCCCCAGGATATTCCTTTATATTATCAGTATAAACCAAATCGTTAACTCTTAATATTCAAATTAGATAGATGATTCATATTGCATATTACCTTTGTGGTACACAGATGCATAACTCCAATGCTTTTTGCATGCTTTTTGTGCTGACATTTGCACGAGCAGAGTACTTCACAAACTCCTACAAAAACAAATCATATAAAACTTCAATTATATTATAGTTACCTTGAAGTAGTTTTGATAATGGGTCATCCGGTCTGCCACATTCTTCAGATGATCCGCATAAGATCTTGCACCAGCTTCGCATTTATCAGCCAATGACTATAAAAATCAAAAAATTGATTTAAACACTATAATAATATTGGAATCTGATGAAATTAAAAAATGATTGAAATGAACGCCTACGGAGATGTGTCCACACTACTTGTACAGAATGTACAGGATATGCAAATTTACACTGTACAAGGTATACAACCAGGTGCAAAATGAACAGACAGCTTTGAAGCTTATAAAAATAATTTAGGTACTAGACACATAATGATAGTAGTGTAGACATATATGGATGGAATAGTGAAGATACCGGAGAAGGAGAATACTCAGAGATAATCATTGAAGCTTTCGAAAAATCGTGAATACAGTATAGTACACGTAAGGATATCAACAATTTGACAATGTAATAGGAATGGTTGATTGATGAACGACCGATTAACAATCGAGTAAATGGAATAATGAAAAAGGGTTGGACCAAAATGATAATACAGAGCCAGAAATTGAAGAAACAGGAACATCAAACAGCGTTGCAGCGAATCTATTTGAATCGGAAAGTCGAGTCAATTTGAGCTTGGAGATAAAAGAAACAAGAGCATCTATTGTGAAGGAAAGTTGAAAGTTTTAATTAAATGTTAGGACAAAGTGGTCTCATACAGATCGCGAAATTATACACAAGATAAGTGAGGTTGGTGGCAGACGAGTTGGCTACAATATGATGGAAAAAATATAGAAGACGTGGGGGATGTAGAAGCTGCAAAAGGTTTGATATGCTTAGAAGAGTGATATAATCATTGCAAAGTACACTCATGAAACTTATAATGGTATGAGACTGAAACTACCTAAGAACGTTTCAGATGAACTGTAAGACAGATGAGATCGCAGAAAACTGAATAGATTTAAAAAAAAATAGAAAAGAAATTAAATGATCGCCAAATATAGGATGATTCAAATTGTATGAGAGTAGCACCGAGTATGGAAGATTACTATAACCTGTACCTAATTTCTATTTCAAAAGATTGTAGAATATTTATAAAAATATAAAGATCATTTCTGAAAGACGGCTCTGGAAACAACTTAATCAGTATAGCACGTCAAAACATAGTTTGTCGGTCGTATGTGATATATGTTCCCAAATATATATGAATATCAATGCTGAGATACGACAAATGTAGGACATACGAGGTGCCAGATCCCCCCCCCCCCCCCTCATCTCAAAAGGAACGGCATACGCGTACAAATAAAAAAACACAAAATTTTGGTGAAGTTAAGCATACTCGCCCATAGTTCTAAATAGCTGGTACAGTGCAGCTCAAAAAGAAGAGTCTCAAAACAATGAACAGGGGAGTTAGGTTATGGAAGGTACCGTAGCACTGGAGATGGAGATGAAATCTTGATGAGTTAACAAAAAACTGATGATAGGCAGCAAACTGTTTGTTAACGAAATAAACATCTGCATGATAACAGTGGGATGAAAACATGAAAAAAGCAGAACGTCAGCAGATATAGAATGTACGAGATGATTGATTATGTAGACAAAAAAAGTGGAAAAAAATAATAAATTGGGTGGCAGAAGCTCTTAGAAAGCACTTAGAAAATAGATTCAGAAGGCTAGAATGCTAAGAACATGCTTTAGAGACTCGTGGATCAGGTGGGCGAAAGAAGAGATAGGCTGTATTCAGAACGCTAGAAAGGATAGGTAGGAATGTACAGTTAAACGGAAAACATAAGAAAAATGCCAAAAACATGGAGAGTATAGAACCTACAAAAGCTGTAGTGGACATAATGGCTTCATTGGATGAAAAAAGTGTTGGAAACTTCTGTTATAGCGCCAAATGAGCAAAAGAAATGAAGTGTTTGAAATGAAAATGATATGAAGCACAAAGTGAAAATGCTCGAAATACGAAATAGGAAAATCTTATGACATGGATGTACATGATGGCGAATTAAAAGAGAAAAAAGAGAGAAAACGACAGAAAAAAGTTGAATAATTTTTAAACATTCCGGAAGAGTAAGAATGAGAAACACAAATAGAAGAGAAGATGAAGGATAACAAGAGAGTTAAGCAAGAACAAGCTCAAAACAGGGTGACGGTATCAAATAATCAGTATGGATACTGGTGATTGAGAAAATGCGAAAGAATAATTGAATGAATACTTAAATGGAGACAATTAGATATCAATTTGGACTGAGCTTAAGATTTTAGGAATTAACCGGACTGAGATGATAAAAAGAGTTTGAAAAGCACTAAAATCAGAGGATTAAAATATCCGAGACTAGAAAAATGAAACTTTTTTGAATCCCGAATAAACTCATAACCGGATTGAGGATGGAATAAGAATTTGAAAAACTCATGAAATGGTTGATACACAGATGATAAGGATAGAAGTCGATTCTGGTCTGAGCATAAGAAATGAAACACTGACTGATACGGAAGAGGGTGGAAGAAAACAAAAAAAGAAACAACCGGATCAGACGAGGTGGGAATAAAGAATAAAAAAAGAAGGAAGGAATAGATTCAATAATTGTGAGAAATATTTTCAATATATCAGATTATGAATATTTAAGTGAGCAGGAAGAGACTTGTTACCATAGAGGGAAGCAAGTTCTGCAACAACTGTTCAGATTTTTCTTAACCTTTTTTGAGATGAGTTGGTAGTTCAAAATGAGTGGAAGTCATAAACAGGATCAAGAAAGAATCATTCGCATCAAAGAAATCACCAGTGGTGAGTTGATGTGAGCAGTATGTAAGATATAAGTATCGAGTATAATTCAGAAATGACAATAAACTTGTATTATTGAACTAGAGAACAGAAACAAAGCAGGATGTAAGCACCAGTATTGTAGAGATCATAATGAGCAAAATCAGAAATGCGCGCGAAATAGTCTTTATGAGTACGAATGATAATCTCAAAAAACGAAGGAGGACTTTCATGTTCTAAAAAAATGGTTTTGTAGTTGAGAGTTGTATTCATTGAAACTAGCCAAATGGCAATGAAGTTCACAGATGTGGCAGTGAAAAACAAAAAGAATAACAACGAATCATAATGCTGAGATATGAGGATGTAAGGAATAACTGTTGAAGGGCTGAGGAAGAGGTGAGCATGAAATTGGCGTAAGAATAAAATAAGTTTTTCGAGATTTTAAAGTAGAGGAAATTTAAAGTTTTGAAATGTTTCATATAGTATTAATACGGAAAGAGTGGAAGAGAACTGTGAAAGACATGGAGTAGAAATATGATTCAAAGAGCAATAAGAGGGTTCGAAGCTTAGATACGGTGAATACAAGGATTAACTAGAGAAGCAGGATATTCATATATTTATAAGAACATTCTTTAAAATAGAAAAAGTAGCTCTGAAGACTAAATGGAGATACCCGAACTTCAAGTACGGAATACGGAACGGATGATGTATGATGTACAAAGAGAGAAAGTGAACGCTATATAAGTTTATATAAGTTTTTAAACAAAAATAATAGATTGACTCATTGAATTGAGATGGAAACATGTAATAAATAACATTATATGAATATGTAAATGACAGAAATATGAATGATTTGAAGATATGATGAAAGATGAGATTGATAAAGGAAACAGACACAATAGAATTGAATATAGCTGTTGTAGGAATACTTGAATATAACAAAGCAAATATAATATAATTAAACATAATATAAATTAATAAATCAATAAATGAAAGAGACTAAATGATATGAAATTTGGTTTTTTTTAATATTCAAAACATGAAATGTATGACAAATGATGGAACAGCTAGTTCCAAGATGTACGTGAGAAAATGAAAAAGGCACGAAAATATGAAAATTATATGAAAAATGAGTTTTTGATAAGTTCAGAGACAGAATAGAATAGTTGAATGAATGAAAATGATGAAAACTATGATACATGTTTGTATGAAGATAAACTGATTAAGATACGTTTGATTATTGGCTTATAATGAAGAAATGCACGAACTCTTAGTAAGTAGTGTAACTTTTCCAGAAATAAATAAAAAGTGAATAAAATATAATGAGGAATGAAAAAAACCATAAAAATTTAAAGAAAAGATGTCAAATTGTGATTTACATGACAAGTTGTTTTTTTAATTTCTGATCTTATAATAGCAAATGAATATCTGAAGCAGTTGGCAATGAAAAAGTGTAAAATGAGCATAAGAGAAAGCTTCTTCTTGGTGATTTTGCGTTCATGAGTTAAGAGAGAATGTAATGGAGAGAAGAGGGAAAGAGAGAGAGAGAGAGAGAGAGATGAGATGAATGGAATAGTCAAAGGAAGGAATAAAGAAGATAATAAAAACAATCAATCAATATAGAAAATACAAGATCAAAGCCAAGGCGTGAAATATAAGATTTCAAACATTTCAATCAATATGATCAAAGAAATAAAAAAAGAAACACAAACCTCAAAATACTCCTTGATTGGAGGATTTTCAAGTTTTTCCAACAATGTTGGCAAATCTTTGTAAAACTGAACATGCTGATCGAAATCATGCTCCAATCGTACAAATGTTTGTCCGACCTAAACATGTAACTACTGTGTTCAAGAGAGAGAGAGGGGGGATGTGTATGTGACAGTACCTTTCCCGGATCATCAGAATAATAGTTTAAGCCTTTGAGCATAACACTAAAACAATATATTTTGTTATTCAGAGATACGGAATGGACTATGGTTACTTGGCATGAAACTGATACAACTCCGTCAAGTTAGTTTTGAGTATTTCCTTGTATTTTTGAACTTCGTCCGGAATTGATGAATCATTCAATGGGCTTAAACGTTATAGTAAGTATGATGCATTGAGATATGAGTGTTTACTTGACGAATTCATCGATGCATACCCGCAAATCAGTTACGAACTCCTCTTCTGATCGTAATAGATCATGATAAACTTGACTGAAATTGGAAACTTTTGTTTAACAGAGAGTTGTGAGAAGAGCAAAAAAGTAAAAAATTCAAATTCTTCTTCATTCGTTGCTTCAGTTTCTTGGAGTTCAAAAAAAATTTGGTGGAAAAGAAAAAAAAGAAAAGAAGTTTACAATATGGTTTTGAAAACAGAAAACTAAATTGCTCATGAAAATCAGAAAAAGATGTTTCTGACCAGATATTGATTGCGAAAAGTTGTTTGCAAACCAAAATGATGTAATGATGTGACAGAACATGTCTAACTTACTCTCTTTTAAGAATTGCTTCTTGTTCTTCTGAAAGATTTGCAGATGGATGTTCTATTTCACGAGTTTTTCGACGTTGCTTATAATACTCGGTAGGTGTTTCAAAATACGATCCCGGTACCCATCCAGATTGTGGTGGACGTGCCTTACAAGTATCAAGATTTTTGTTTTCTTTTGTTTGTTTCATTGTTGCTCACTTTTGTTCGTACAAGCCAACGAGCAGCGTTTTTCTTATCCAAGACTTCAACAATCTGTCCCTGCTCAAGGGCGATGCCTTCAACTTCCGAAGCATCCGGTTGATAGTCCTTTAAAAAAAAGAGAAAATAAGCAAAAGCTGGATGAGCAAGATATATACTTGAATTGCGATGTATACTGGAAATGATCTTGTGTCTGATCCCTTAAAACAATTTTTTTTGTTGTCTCTGTCAAGAGGTTTAAGATAACAAAATGACTTACAGCAACAACTTCAAAGTGAGTTGAACGACCGCGAGAATCGGATCTAGAAGTTAAAGATTCAGATCGATAACTCGATTTGGATGAATGAGAGCTATAATTGACATCTTCAGTAGCTGTGTATCTTCTGAAACAAATAGAAAATAAAAAAAACTTAATTAAATACTTTCATAATTTTCTTTTCGTTGAGTTGTTTGATTGCAATGAAAACGATACTTCACGCGTAAGTCGAGAAGAAACTCAGAACAAACACAATTTGGCTTTTTCCACTTTTTTGACACATTTTTAACTTCAAAATAACAAAAGAATCTCGTTCTCTCTCTCTATAACCTTTCTGACCAATGGAACTGTTTATTTTGAACGAAACAAATGAAGAAACCAATAACTCTTTTTCAGTTGGAAAATCTTTTTTTGATTAATTTTTGACAGACAACTGCCAACGATTTTGTAAAAAGAAAACAGAAAAGAAGGTTTGAAAAAAGCCGCCCCCACACAGTTATTCGAAAACGGTCAATAATGAAAGAAGATAGTTGTTTATAATCCTTTTTTGGAATTTCATATGTAAGAAGAATAGAATATGAATAGTTACTTGAACGAGCTGTATTTACGATCAAACTGTTTTTGACGCCGTGATGCCATGGCTCAAACGTTGGCACAACTGTAATGATGAGAACTCGGTAGAGCATAACAATAATGATATCATACCTTTGGACTACTAGCTATCCAGTAGGATGAACTATTTTGTTTTATGTAATTAATTAAGGATAAGGTGGGGTGGGGGGTCGATATGCCTGATTGCTTCTGACGCCGGCCCGTCAGTAACACAAAGCACAGAATGAGCTTCAACATCCGAATTTTCTCCACCCTTCATCTCTTTCTCGGAGTTACGAAGGGAAATCTCTTAAACAGCATCATCTTTTCTTGTGCATTTCTCTCTCTTTCTCTCTCATTTGACTCTCCGTTCACTTCCTTCATCTCTCTTGTGCATTTCTTTCACTCTTTGCTTTTTCATACTATCCACATTTCCCACAATCCATCAGCTGGAAGGCATAGAAAGACAGATTTCACCTTTATCGCCTGGCCTTCATCCCTATTGTCCCAACTTCTCAATATCCTCGAACTCACCTCCCACCCAGGCCTGTGCATAGAAAGAAATGTGATGTAATATGTCTGCTTCACTCTCTTTTTCTCTATACTATTACACATATACTCATTTTCCCAAACAGCAAGTTGCTCACCATGATCAACATTTTCTTCACTTTTAATTTTAAATTCGGTATTTAACCTTCAAAAACAAGATAATGAAGAACAAAAGCTTCCGACTTCTTCATGAAACTGTTTTTCTCAAACACACAGTTGCGTGAATAATAAACAAACATCTTGGAACAGATAGTTCATTATCAAGTATTATAACGTATTGAACAAACATAATCACACAAAATCAAATATCAGGTGTATGTAAAGTTCGTGGGCCATCCACCCACCTTTTCCAACACTAACCTTCAACTCAACCATTTAGTAGAAATCGCGAAAGCCATCCGATGGATGACTAAACGAGATGGGGGAACAACGGCTATAAAAAAAACTTGAACTATGATACTCATTGTACAATAACAATCTGTTCAGACTCAAAACAAGCTTGGATGTCCATAGTGAAGCTCCAACCGTTATTTATCAATAGATGTTCTTAACAAAAGAATATTGGATTAGATAAGATGACCGAATTCACTGAGAGAATTTCTTGATCTCTTTTATAGATATCATTTCAATAAACCAATCTGTTCAGTCTTCAACAATTGTTTTCTCAGTTATCAAGTTTTCATGTACGATCAAGGTTTGCTGTACATGTCCCTTACCTTTACTTCAGCTTTGCCAAAAATAAAACTTTACAAACTTTTTGTTCTCTTGTAGTGCTACAGTATATGACCCACCAATTGAATTGCCAAGTACCGAAAACAGTTCCACTGGACAGGCCCGGAGATAAGAACCCAAAGTAACAACCAGCGGAGTTTTTATTCAGGAAATGACGAACTCTTTTACACAGATACATGATGGGACAGATTGTGAACGACGTTGTCACCCTAGTTCATTGAGCGTATTCAATTCACGAGACCATCTGAGAGATACGATAGAAACCAAGTACGGTTTGAAAATAGTTTGGTAATCAAATTGGAATTGAGAATATATGAACAGACATATTAAATTCAAACCTGAGAGATAATATTATGATGAGGCGTGCGCTTCACTTCAGACCACTTAAGTAATATGCGCCCTACTATCGTCCTGGTTCCTTCCATGTTCAAGTTGAGTATGGAAAACCTGGAGCTATCATGAGAGATAAATGTATCCAAGAAAATAACTAATAAGCATTTCTTCAACTATCCACCAGGAAAGGTTTGTACGTTTTTTCTACATCTCTCTATCAATTATATTGAACAGCCTCCAATATCTGACGTAAATCCAAGCGTTGGCAGGAGTCAGACCTGCTCTGTGAATGCTTGCAGTGTCCTCTATGAATAAAGCACGTGTTTCGCAAAGCTTAGCTGTTTTTTGCACGATCGTGCTTATTCGGTCTTATCATCATAAATGATCGCTTTGATGGAGAACTCTCGTGGTGGACAACTTAACTGAAGAAAAATTTCAGAAAAAAACTGATTTGCATATCTCTAGGTACTTGCTGCTAGATGCTCCCCAAGCTGAAACTTTGAAACAGTTTTCATTTTTTTTCATTATCTTTGCATGTTCCTATATTTAGCAAACCGTCAAGGTCGGGAATAAATCAGTTTCATCTTTTTTGCAGACTATTCTACACTTCTCTTACCATATTCAGAGTAAGAGATAGGAAGTATGTTCTAAAGCACACTACATAATACATTTGCTAACTACGCTAGGCACACTCATGTTCATTCAGATGTTTCAAGACTTCATTCTGGAACACTACTCTGTAATCTGGTCTGGCAGGAGCTCATAACTCTTCGTACCGGATCTCTTTCAAGTCCTTGAGTCTACCGCTGAAAGCTGGGTAGCCGACGCTTGAAAATTATGTATTTTATGCACAAATCCAAACGAGTATTTAGTAGCCTTGCTGTAATGACTCATCTCTCAAGCACATTTACACAGAAAAGGGCAATGCACCACACAGGTAAGCATGCATATGAGAAGAAATCCATAGTATAACCTTAATTGGATACCTCCTGATTCAATTTCATTTTTCAATGAGCTAGTTTCTCTAACCATAAATAGAAAACACTAAGTGTTAGCTAAATCAGAAACATCATCAACAACCTTACCTCAAAATTAAAAAATTACTAATTGTGGCTTAAATTTCTAAGATAAAGGCATAACGCATCCAGTGATTCAAATTTAAAACAGCAAATATCCTCTTTTGTTCCGTATGAGAACTGACTTATTCTTTTAAAACAACACTGCACTTTCAGGTGATATTTCCTTACATGGAATTACAAAGAGAAACAGGCTCCTCCCATAAAAATATTTAAATCTCCAATGAAAACTATGGGTCTCCAGGTGCTTTTCTAATAGACACAGGATCTTTTTTTTCATCACAACAAAGTAAAAAGCTTTCACCTCTTAACTTCCTAACATCAAGATGAGGATGATGACACAATTGGTCCTGACGCGACATTTTCATTTGTTGGGTTGAATTGCACAACATTTGGTAAGGAATATCTTCATATATATACTGGTAGCTTCTATCGTATTTATGTTTTCTCTTTTTAGTTTTGAACTTTTCCTTAACTAATTGTCATGCTTACAATGTCTTTTTTCTTGTTAAATCTTCAAAATTGCAGTTAAAAATGGCCTTGCGTGTTGATTATGAAGGAAGCCACGATGTTGGTGTGTTCACAACTTTGACAAACAGTTATTGTATTGTTGGGATTGGAAACACTCAGAACTATTTCAGGTAAAAATAGGATTCTTGTTTCTGATTATATTATAATTTTCAGTATTGTTGAAGCTGAATTATCTGACGTCATCCCAGTTGTCCACTCCTCCATCGCTTCCACTAGAATTGTAGGAAGAGTTACAGTAGGTAAGGAATATTGGTTCCCATATTGAGGTAAATGATTTAATTTTTACAGGAAACAGACATGGTTTACTCGTTCCCAATGCCTCAACCGACCAAGAGCTCCAGCATCTCAGAAATTGTTTACCTGATGATGTAAGTCTTTCGCTGTAATGTTTTGAAGAATCGGGGTTTTTCAGGTTAGAGTTCGCAGAGTCGACGAGAGACTTTCAGCTCTCGGAAATGTTGTGGCTTGCAATGACCATGTTGCCATCGTTCACGCTGAAATTTCTCAGGAAACCGAAGAGGCTATCGCAGACACTTTGAAAGTTGAAGTCTTCAGGATAGCTTTGGGCCAGAACAGTCTTGTAAGAACCGAAGATATAAAAAAACAAACTCATTTCCTGCTTTAGGTCGGATCTTATTGTTCTTTGTCATCCAACGGTTGTCTTGTTGCTGCTAGTACTCCACCTGAGACACAGCGTGAATTAGCTGCTCTTTTACAAGTTGGTTCCTAATGAATGAGCTGATCTATTTCAATCTTCAGATTCCTGTCGTAGCTGGAACAGTAAATAGAGGTTCAGAACTTATTGGAGCGGGTCTGTGCGTTAATGATTGGACTGCCTTGTGCGGTAAGATAGACAATGAATGTGACTTTGATTTAAATTGATTCTCTAGGATTGGGTACTACTTCCACTGAATTGTCGGTTGTGGAATCTATCTTCAAGCTCGGAGAGCAAGGGCAACCATCAACCATCAGCAATCAACTCAGAGATACTCTTATTGAAAGTATGTTATAAATTGTTATTTTTTCATGTTTTTGCTGTTTTTTGTTGTTTTGCACTTGATTTGTTTCAAAAACTGTTCACAATAAACTTTTCTTATGAACATGGTCTTTATTGATTAGTTCCTTTTTTATCAGACACTATAGCGTAGTGTGCTGATACTTTCCTATCGCATCATTGCGCTCCTTGCTAGTGTATGGTGACGACTAGTCTTTTCCCCCATCTTTACCCTCCTTTGTACCCTTTCTTAACCAGCCTTATATAGTCGGAGAAGAAATTGTCTTGTCTTCAGTTCCAGCTTATAGCCATGTCTACTGAGCTCGATAATATTACTCGAGTTTTAACTTCATATACAGGAAGAGATAAAGCATTAAGAACATTATGCTTTATGCTTCATGTGCGTGCTCAATCTGGAAGTCCGTTAAAAGATCAGCTCATAGGCTTAGCCAAGCAGATCAGTAACGCTCGTCTCTGTATGCGCCAATTCAATCATCCATCAATGTTCAAAGCTTGCCAACATTTGATTCAAAATTCCAGTAAGCCTGCAGATGTGGTAAAGCTTGTTTCTCTGTCATCCTATGTACAGTTTATTTTTGCAGGTGGATTTCACATGTCATTCAACTATAACTGGAGTTTATACCGTTTATGGTTTTGTAGAACTAGCAGCTTGGCTAGCAGATGCTAAGCTGATAAAGATCGATAGTGCACCTCTTTGGAGATGGTGCTTATACCTTTGGACTGCAGCATTAATTACGGGAATTTTTAGATGTGTATGTACTCTTTTATCTTTGATTTCTATGGAACAAAATGTTGCAGATAAGATCAATTTACAAAAAATCACAAGAAATGAAGGCTCACATGGCCAAGGAAGACATAGTTACATTAGTGGGATTAACTTCGGACTTTGCTTCCGCCATTAATTCTCTGCCTTTCAAGGTAATTCGCACTTTTTATAGCGTCATTTCATTATCAATCCAATTTCCTTCTATTCAAACATTGATTCTTGGATAATAAACTAAAAAAAATTTAAAAGAATGTACTGAATACAATGTTCAGTGATAATTTTCTGTTGTTCTCACAGGTTTTTTTTTCAGTTTTTGTGGGCGGGTAAGCTGACCCCGCGACAATCCGCCACGTTCTCACTGATCGCTTCCTTCATTGGCCTCTACAAAGTTTGTTGAATTATCTTGTACTTAAGCATCAATTTTTTTCTTCTCATTTTCCACAACAAACAACGTTAAGTTGTAAATTTAAACTTGTTCTTTGATCATTTTGAGCAAATCGTAACGCATTAAGAGTATTCGCCTGTGCATTCCATGTCTTAAAATCAATTTTTTTCTTTTCGCTCTCACATTGAAAGCACCAACTCATTCTGTTCATATGTGAATAAATCGTTTAATCATTTGATTCTTTTTCTTTTTTGACGTTACTTCTCGTTCACCTATGTTTGTTTCAAGAATTCTGCAATTGAATTTTTTGTTTTTTTTTTCATGATTACACTATACTTACAGACACATTCATTTCAAGATGAGAACTTTTTTGATGGTAAATTTTAGCTTTGCCTCCTCCCCAATTCATTGTTTAATCAAACGACTTGTACGCTTTTTGGCAGTCGTGTTGGCGTTGCGAGTTTTGTTCGTGGCTGTTCATCCTGCCTCTTGTTCTTTTCCTAATATACCCTTCTGTTCATCGAGATGAATATAGAGGTCGAGAATAAGACCGGGTTATCTCTCGCATCAACGATACAATGACTCTCAAACATCATCGTTTCTTATCCTTGAATTTGTTTCTCAGTCTTGAACCATGTTTTTCCTTCTTGTTGAATATAAAATGTATATTTAAACTATTTCCATTTGATTTTCAGAATGAAGGTCTTAGTTACCGGAGCTGCAGGATTCATAGGAAGCCACACCGTTTTAGAATTGATTAATGCTGGCCACGATGTTCTGTGTATAGACAATTTCTCGAATTCCATCTCAGGTATAATAGCAGTGATTCATCTCTTTTCCTTTGTCCTTATCTATTCCTCGGCAGGCTACAGCTGAGTTTCTAGACCCGGAGTTGACGTTCCGTTTCCTTATTTATCTATTCCTATTACAGATGACCAAGGAAACGCTGTATCTTTAACTCGTGTTAGTGAGCTTGCGGGCAAGCCTGTACCATTCGTAAAATGTGATGTATGCAATGAAGAGCAGCTTGAGAAACTGTTCAGTGAGGTAATATTACAAAGTAACGAATCGTGAATTTCACATGAATACACTGAGGGGCATACGCAACCTGAATATTGTTTTGCACAGTGAGATGAACGGTTCCGTTCGCGAATTGTAAAGTTTTCGCTCTGCTTATGTTTATATTTCCAGAATAAGTTTGAAGCTGTTATTCATCTAGCAGCTCTGAAAGCAGTTGGACAATCTGTTGTTAAGCCTTATGAGTACTATTCCAACAATCTCATCGCCAGCTTGAGTCTTATTAAGGTTTTTTTAATTGCTTGCAACTCTCTTACCTCTACTTCAGCTTTGCCAAAAATACAATGTTACAAACTTTGTGTTCTCCAGTAGTGCTACGGTATATGGCCCACCAAAAGAATTGCCAATTACCGAGAACAGTTCCACCGGACAGGTTTGGATAAGAACACAAAATAACAATCAGCAGAGTTTTTTCAGGGAATCACGAACCCATATGGGCAAAGCAAGTACATGATGGAACAAATTTTGATCGATGTTGGACGTGCCAACCCCGTAAGTAAACAATTCCATTCAATTTCAAAACAACTTGTTTAGGATTGGAACATCGTTTTACTCCGATACTTCAATCCAGTTGGAGCTCATCCAAGTGGTTTGATTGGCGAAGATCCCAAGGGAGTTCCAAACAATTTGATGCCATATGTTAGCCAGGTAATGCGAAAAATACTAACAAAAGTTAAATTAAATTTTTCAGGTTGCCATTGGAAAGTTACCCGTTCTCACAGTTTACGGTGACAAGTTCGATACTAAGGATGGAACTGGCGTTCGTGATTATATCCACGTTGTAGACTTGGCTAAAGGACATCTCAAAGCTTTGAACAGAATCGAGAGAGAAGGTGAGTATTTGTATTATTTTGGTTTTCTCATTTTCTCCATTCATAGGCAAAATCGGAACAGAAATTTATAATCTCGGCACAGGAGTTGGCTACTCTGTTCTCGAGATGGTCCACGCTTTAGAAAAGGCTAGTGGAAGAAAAATCAACTACCAGGTACAATATCATGGTTAATGAAACACAGTTCAAATTTTAGTATGGAACTCCCAGACCAGGTGACGTTCCTTCTGTCTTCTGTGACCCTAAAAGAGCTCACGAGAAGTTGGACTGGAAAGCCGAGTTAGGATTAGACGACATGTGTCGTGATTTGTGGAACTGGCAAAGCAAAAACCCTAATGGTTTCTCTAAAGCATAATCCAATTAGTATAACATGAGAATCTAACGTTTGTATAATATACGGAGAACAGTATTTACTAAGTTCATATTATTTATTATTCGAGTTCTATTATTTATGTTTCGAAAACAATAATTCTGAAACGTTTTACCTTCAAAGGCTATGAGTGGGTTTTATCAAAATATAATAAAGCTTTCGTAAGCGTTGCTACTCTTCTCTTGTTCTGTAAGGTTCTTTGCCAGTTGTTTCCCGAATATTCAATCCTATTCGAAACTGTTTCCATTTGGAATGTAAGAACTGATGCGTTCGCCAACTCATAACTCTTCCGTCAATTCTGAAATATTAAGACTTCCTTATAGCCTGTTGAAGTCTTAGCTCTTCTTTGAGCATGTTCGTCTTATAGCGACAGGACCAATTGCGCATATTACGGCAACAAACAGACACCACTTCATTGATTTCACATCATCTGCTGAAACTATGTTCCCTGTTGTTCTTCTTATGAGTGATTTGATTATTCACAATACGAGGAAATTGTAATTGCAGCAGTCGAGGATCAGCACTAACCTAACTCATCGTATGCTTTCAGCTATACTTCGAAAGTAAGTGATGAAGCGCTTCCGATTTGATCGTTCTTGGACCTTATACATGCAATGCTCTTCGAAGAACAAGTCATTCCGTTCACCACGAATAGGAGTTCTAATGTGAGAGACTACTAAATGTCTAAGTTTGTGGTTACCATTATATAGTAAAATGGCTAACACGCATTCACTCCATTATCTCCGGAAGAGTTGAAATCAGATAGACACCGAAAACCGTCTCGGGTTCTTCGTTGACGTTTCGTCGAAAGAATTCAAATTATTTTTTTCTTGGTTGACGGGTAAGTGGTGGGTTACTACTTACGGAACTCTGTTATGAATCGTTTACAGTTTAAATTCTATCGGTCCCAGTTCTTGCGAAGAACATGGTGAGCCACAGGATTTCGGATGTGCAATAGATGAAGTAGAGGAACTCGATTTCATAATCTATAGGATGCGGAATCTAGAGGGAAAACGATCTGTTCTTCATCGGTAGAAAATCTTGTCCAGTATGTAGATTCGAGTGTTATTCATATTGGCATAGTTTTGTTTCATCACAACACAATAAAAGTTTCGCAAGCTTTGTTCCATTTCTTTGCTCTGTAAGGTTCCTTGCCAGTTGTTTCCCCAATGTTTCATAGTATTCGAAACTATTTTTACCTGGAATCTTAGGAACACGGATGTCTTTGAATGTTGGCATATTAGGACACGTGGACTGTGGAAAAACTACTTTGACTAGAATTTTAGCTGAACTTGCTAGCACTGATGCTTTCGATAAGCATGCTCGTAACTCTGGTCGACAGAACACTCTTGATTTGGGGTATACTCAAAAATACTCTCCTTAAATATAAGTGCTTGTTAGATTCTCTACTTTGACCATTGATGGAAGAAGGTTAGCTTTAATTGATTGTCCTGGACACTCTTCTCTCATCAAAGCTGTTCTTGCTGCGAGCTCAGTCCTCGATATGGCTTTAGTTGTAAGTCAACTAGATTGTTAAAGAACTAATTATGGGCTCGCAGGTCATTGATGCAGCCAATGGAATTCAGCCTCAGACTGCTGAGCATCTCTTACTATGTTCTATATTCTGCCCAAATCATATTATGATAGTGTTGAATAAAATTGACTTGGTTCCCGCCGATGAAGTTAGTTCTTGACGATCTGAAGTTTCAAAAATAATGTTTCAGATTCCGAATATCAAAAAAAAGTTGTCTAAACAATTGAAAACTCTTGAAGTTAATCCGAATTGTTTGATTGTTCCTCTCAGTTTGAACAACATAGATCCAGAAGGTAAAAAGTTATTACTGGAGTCTATAAAACAGAGTTTGTTCGAACCCGAACGACATAATACTGGCAAGTGAGTGTTTTCTTCTTTTTTTTTCGTTTTTTTTCTCCTTCGCGTAGGATATTCTCATCGCAAAGCATTAGCTTATCGAGAGTTGTGAAGAGAAAATAATTCTTTTTAGTTTTTCCATTGGGAGAAATGGCACTTTGCAGGTTTCTAATGGCTGTTGATCATTGTTTTGCTGTGAAAGGGAAAGGGACGGTGATGACGGGAACGGTTGTGGATGGATCTATAAGGTAATGGAAGCTTTTACCCGAAGTCTTAATAGCCTAGAGATACATACACTCGATTATTTGCTTTTCCTATAGAGCCAACCTTATAAATTGCATTTGCTAGCCAATATCTTCAATTGGTGTCTGGCTAAACTTAGTTCTGATCCCCTTGAGAATTATGAAGACATTTAACCAAATATAACAGGTGACGTCGGTCATAGGGTTGACACAAGTTTCCCAAAATTGAATTGTAGTTCAGTTCAGAGAGTTAAAGTCATTAGTTTTGTTCAGCTTGAACCAACAAATCGAACTACCTCTGATCAAGGAGAGCAGGAAAGTAAAAGGATTGGAGTCGTGGAAAACAAAAGCTGAGAAGGTTAGGAAAGTATTGGAAATATTCCGCACGACTTCTTTTCAGATAATGTTAGGGGAAAGAGCGGCAATATTAGTACAAAACATAGATTCTGATCGTTTTTCCAGAGCCATGAGTAATTTCTCCTGTTTGTGGCAGTTTTAATCTCTATTGTAGTTTGTGAGCCAGGTGTTTTGACTGAAATACAAAGCTGTCTTTGCGACGTCAATGCTATAGCATTTTATAGAACTACCGTTACCTCAGGTTAGAAACAAAGCTGGATTTACAATTGCTTTTTAAGGAACGAAGTTTCACATAACTGCAGGCTTTGAAACAGTGGTAGCACAATGCCATTTTCTAAAACCAACGGAGAATGGTAATGTGGCTAGGGTAAACAAGAAAACTTAATTCAGTGCACTGCAGATGAATATGAAAACATCCCTTCTTTGCAAAGTGATTGTCTTGTTCTCATGGAACTCGAACACCCTATATATTCTCGCCCAGATACGTTCTACATAGCCTCTAAGTTAGAACATCAAGGTTCAACTTGAGACTGCTGTTGTCTTTATTTCGCTATGCGGATTGAAAGGTTTTGTTCTAGGCAAGGGCTGCCGTTTTGCTTTTTATGGTAAATTGAGCAACATAAGCAACAGCACCTCAACAATCAAAAGATTCGTCAGGAAAGAGAAGCGCGGTCAAGTGCAGAGGTTGGTCTAGTAGAATCAATGAACGTTCATGTCATCATCTGAAATATTCCTTTTTTGAAATAAACGAAATTCTCGTTAATGCAAGCGAGGTTGTTTATTCCACCCCCATGCTCAGACACAAAACGTTCGCCCTATTAAGAACGGAAAATTAAAGTTTCGAACCTTCATGTTTATTGCAGAATTGAAAACAATCAAAGTCTGATATGTCAGTCGTTGTTCAAAAAGGAGACGAAGATCAGCATATTTGAAGGAATGTCCGTAATACTGTCAACTGGAGAAATTGGTAGAATTGAAAGTGCATTCGGAAAAACAGGAAAAACACGCATTTCTTTCTCACAGCCTTTGGCTGATACGACCATTGCCACCTTTGAAACCAACAAGCGAATCGAAGTGGTTTTGTACTTGAAGAAATATCAGCACGATAAAAGTATTTTGTCGTATGTGCCAACATGAGGTGCTGAAACGGTTGACACATGCTCATTTCTCTACGGGTTCTTACATTATTCCAAAATATTATCGTTCTTTTGTTGTTGAGAAATTCTCATTGAACTAATATATGAATGAATATTCTATGACTGTTTCTATATTATCCTTCATGGTTGTTTTACCACTCACCTATCTTGTTCATGTTGATCAGCTGTTGAACACCATGTTCAGACATGCTATGTAAACTAATTAGATCAACACCTTCGGTTGTTTCTCTCCGGCTAATCAGTAGAAGTTCATTCTTATACTCACGTGGGGAAGTTGATGACGATGGCTTACCGAAAGATTACAAACTCAAAAAGTTGCGAGCTGGAAGCAGACGCTTAGATACGTTTGTGAATCGTGCCACAGGAAAGAGCAGCTCGTAAGTTGTTATGTTTATTACTGAAAAAATAACAAGTACTAAAGTTGTTCTTGAAATCCCATCTAAGAGTTTGTGCAACCGTTTTTCATGGGAAAAAATGATAAAATACGCACTGTTGTTAGAACCTGGCCTATTATGCTAATTAGCATTTATTTTGCGTGATGAGTTGGCTGTAAGCGGCTTGTCTCCGGTTGTTTTGAAGTTCACGGTTGAGAAGTCGTAAAAGCGGCAGCTCATCGACCTGATCAAGTTCTTTGTAGTCAATCAAGAAAACATTCTAAGGATGAACAAGGTTCTTCGCACTATTTGTGGAAAAGCGGTGAACACTTCTTTGGGTTATTTGGCATTTCCAAGGGTTGACCGGCTTAGCTTTTAGAAATGTATGGCAGACCTTATGATGTGATTAGTTTAATTTATGTAACGATCGTCGAACAATCTCATGGTTGTTGATGATTTGTGATGCATGAGGATGACTTCTCATATTTCCTACTCGATACTCAGTCATCCCACCCCGTAAAAGATATAATTGTGATCATCGGAGGAGAGTCTTTTAATAACTGAAGTGGTTGTTAATAGCAATGAACATGTTGTGGGAAGAGTAGTCATAGTAGCGAATATGGGAAATGAGTTGTTCTACGAATAAGGAACTGAATTACTTTGAAATTGCTTACAAGATTTTACTTAATTACTCGTTTATAGACAAGTAGAGAAGTTGGTCACTGGTGGTCGTGTTAGGTTGAATGACGAAGTTTGTACCAAGAAATCCTATAATGTAAGTTCTCTCGTTATCTTTTGAAGGCTTGAAGTTCGTTCCATCTCTCATACCACAACTTCGAGCTCGACAGCCATAATGCTGTTCTACCCTCTTTTTCATCTCATCAGATGACGTTGATTTGACAGTGAAGCGTCTCAATATCGTTTTCTAGTTAACATCGTTAACCCGCACTGATTTTAACTAATGAGCATCATATTTGGTGCTCTCAAATATCTGTTTGAGTTAGAGAAGTCAAATGACAACTCGTTTTCACTCCAATTCTTTTCGGAGAGGGATAGTCAATGATGCCGGAATGATATGAAAAGTGAGAAAAACGTTCAAGAAGCCTGTCATCTTTGGTGTCATCTAAATACTGAATATTTAATGTCATACATTGCCTTTAAGTTTTTTCTCGGGTTGTGAATAAAAACATTTACTCTGTTAATGTTTTGTCGGAACTAATTGTATTCCGAAGGACAACAAGGTGGCAGTTCGACGGGAAAAAGAAAAATCTGAGAAAATTTGGCTTAAATTGAGCAAGATTTCCTAATCTTCTTGTGAATTCATAAACTGCCCCCACTTTCTTTTGTTTCGCTATTTCTTATTTGCCTTCTCCTACCATTTTTCGTATATATCCAAACAAGATGAAAACCTCATAAAAAAAGTTATTTTTGAATTGTTGACTTTCAGGTACAACGTGAGGATGTGATCGACGTCTGGTCTGGACCCTTCCCAGAAAACAAGGAACTGGCTGAAGTAGAGAGAACTGAGGTTTGAAATGTGGCGAAAATACTTCATAAAGAAAATGAATTGCATTTTAGATTGTTGATTATGAAGTTACCGATAAAGGCTACGACTTTACCGTTAAGTCTTGGAAGAAGTTCATTGTGGACAATTGGCGAGGAGGATAATTCTCGAAGAAAGTGTAAAGCAATCGACTCAGACCATACTTAGACGCGAGATATAGTTGTCTCCTCCATTTATATTTTATTGAATAAAACTTGCTCTATTAGAATGTTTTCTTGTTTAGAAACAGCCTCCAGAGGAAAAGCACCGAAAATTCGAGAGAAATGAAAGCAGATGAGTTGTTGGGACAGTTCTGCTCATTAGCTCCAATTGCTTTTTAAAGAACTTCTTAGGACATTCCGTCTTTATGACTGTGCTCAACTATGTTGTCCAAACATTTTCCTAAGCTAAACAGGGGATACAGATGGGATCTTCTGACGTCATAACCTTTTACTGAGGACACAAAATAGCTCCGCCCATTTTAAGCTTAATTCCAACTGAGCAAGGGGGAGGAGCTGTGATAGATCTTTTCTATCTATCTCTCTGTCTGCTAACTCTTTTTACTGGGCACTACCCAGTTTTCTCTCACTCCACCTCTTCCATTTATCTCTCCTCAAAGCTTTAAAAGGTCCGTCTCGTTTCAGCTTCATTTGGCTCTGAGACACGATGGTGGAGATGGTTGCTACCTCATCTAGCTACATCAAGATTCTGTTTCTACTAGCTTGCACTGTGAGTTTCTCCTTTTAAGCAAAAAAAGTCGTTTCTTCATCTTACTTGTCGCCTTTTCATGGGTTTAATGATAGATGTCTTTGCTATAACTGATTTTGCTTAAGTCCTTCAAGTGTTTGAAATATTAGAAGAGTAATGACTTTTCTTATCTTCTTCCTCCATTCTCTCTTACTCTCATGAGCAATTCTTCTCGATCACCAGTTCCTTCTTTCGCGGCATCAGATGGCTCAGATCAAGAGATGGCCATCCGAGCATCGACGTCAGTTTGTCGTTGGTCTAATGAAAAGTCTCTGGCATGTAAGCTGATTTCCTTGTCGTTAATTTTTGCTTCTTTGCCATCAAATTGAAATCTTTTATGGACGACAAAAAAAAAAGAAATGGAAGATGTTGACTAATGGCACTTGAGAAAAAAATACCTAAAGTTGCAAAAGACAATCGAGTAGCCATATAATAGAAGAAGCATGAGATTATTTTGGAATTGATCAAACAAAGATGAAAGCTATTAGTTATTGTTTTATTTTTTTTTCGTAAAGATTTGTCTTCTGAAGCGATGCAATTTATGAAGAAGAAAAAAAAGCTGCTGCCTTGGCAATGTTATTTAAGTCTTGCCTCTTCCAGCATCAATAGAAAGGTTGCTGCATATAGTTGGTCAACTCGACTCAGCTTCATTTGAATATGAATTTTACAGTTTAGCTTTCTAGTGTCAAATGAGCTTCACTATAGCTTAACTGTCATCTTAATATTATGACGTTCCATCTAATTATTTTTTTTCGCATCTCAATTTATCTTCCTTCTGCTTTCGTAAACACTGCTTCCGAAAAATTGTCGAAAATAAGAAAAGTTACAAAAGCTGAGACATTGAGAGAAGACTGGAACATATTCGGAGAGCGAAAAAGCAAGAAATATTTGGAAACAAAAGAAAAATAAGCAAGATAGGAGCGCAAGAAAGCTTAGTGACGATTTGACTGTTTAGCCTAATGAAGTATCGTCTCAAGATCATTTCGCAAACTCATTGTTAATGTTTACCAGAGACTTATGAATGAAATAATTCATATTCAGCTTGCTGTTTGTTTCTTAACTGTTTAAGCTAAAAAGTCAAAAAACAAAATTAAAAATCTTTAAAAAGCACCAAAAAGCTAAAAATAATTATTAATCCCTTATGATGATTCTGTTGTTATAAGTTGTGCGCTTGGAAACAGCAAAGCTCATTCCCACACATGAACTGTGTAAGCGAACCTTTTAATCCTTCAAAATATGGTATAATGCAACCGCTTCATTGTCATACGATTCAATGAAATGAATCTTCCACGTGATTTTTATTGAAATTAGCATATACGTGAGAACGTCAATATGAGAACGGGTAAGATGTGAATATTGAAATAATGTCCATATTATTGTTTAAAACGTTCTCTCACCCTCTGTTCCTCTTTCCCTCTTCTTTATCTCTCTCTCTCTCTCCCTCTCTCTATTTCCCTCTCTTTCTCTTTTTTTTAGTTATTTTCTCAAAAACTTTTCTCTTTTGATTTCCCATCAGATATTTCGACCATGGACTTCCGCCCCCACCACCTACTTGAACTTCTTTATCCTCATTCTCTAAAAAGTATTTTGATATCACTGGTGCAGTCCTTGTGGTACTTTTGGTTCATAACTCACAAGCTGTTTTGAAGTTACGATAGTGACTTTCAAATTCAGATGACGGGCCATGTCGTCTACAACAGCATTGAAGCTTATTTAAGCGCATGAGGGTCAATCACAAGAAAATCATTAAATCTACCCCGCTGCGCTTGAAAGAGAGCTCTCCTGCTATGAAACTAAGTGCTTACGGACCTCATTCTTCATGTTTTTTCTATGTTTTTTGCAACAAGCACAATGATTTCATCTAATTGTTGGTGTGGGGGGAGAGGGAACGGTTACAGGTTGAATAAGAAAAGACAACGTTGTGATTCCAAAATTGAAACTGTCACCTATCATTGTAATTCATTATTCCCAAATGAAGGTGAAGGACATGATTGGACTGAAGAAAAACAAAATGAAAGGAAATTCATACATTACGTATATGCAAATTACCAATCAAACATCTGAACCTCTCAGTTGTTTTACTTTGTTTTTCTTCGGGGGGCGCTGAACACCAAATTTTGAAATTCGTCTGAAACATTAGATGAACTTTCGAAATTCTATAATTATATGGAATATTTTTCAATGACAACATTCCATATAATTTGAATTTGAATATTGTTGAAACCAATGTTTGAAGGTTCGTATTCAAGTTCGGGTAAAGCTGAATGTAATAAAGCAAATTATTATTTTATACGTATCCATCTAACTATTCTAATTATAAATTTTGTGTAAATCAGCTTCATTCATAATAAAAATGAGATCGTTTAATGAGCTTCATCTAAGATACGTTCTCATTTTGCCTTCATAATCACTCTCTTCTTTCTTTCTATATTGCGTTTTACGTGAATTGGAATTTTAAAACAATTTTATGGCCTTAGGGTTCAGCTGTTAGATTCATGAGGATAATGAGCTGTCGTTCCGATTGTCATCAAATCTAAGATTCATTTTCATTTCTCCCATATATTATAACTTAAAAGCGTTCACATACATACTGATCATCAAGATCATCCAATTATTTGACAACTGTTTCAGGTTGCTGTCTTATGTGCACCATCAGCTGACAGTTCTTTGCGAAAAAAACGTTCATTCGATTCATTCGTAAGTTTACCATAATTTGCATATATTTTCTATCATAAACACAATTTTAATCTTGTTTTCTGCATTATCTCCGGATTACAATGTTTTGTTTTCTTTCAGACAGGTGCTGGTTTCACTGGATTGGACAAACGATCATTCGATTCCTTTGTAAGCGCATTATTAATATTATGCACGATAAGTTACAACATTTTTTTGCAGACTGGAGCAGGATTCACTGGATTGGACAAGAGGGCGTTTGACTCGTTGGTTCGTTCAAAATTTTCTTCCTTATATGCGACTTCCTTTAATTGCATGTTCATATATCTTTCCTTCGCATAATTACGATTATGAAAATAAGAAAATGTTTTGAACTCCTCTAAAAGCACATTTTACAGGCGGGATCGGGGCTGACTCCTTTCAACAAACGGGCTTTTGACAGTTTCGGTTCAGGAGGTTTCGGTGGATTTGACAAGCGAGCATTCGATTCCCTCGTAAGTAAAAAGTTTAAATCTGTTGACTCAACTTCTTACGACCGTTACACACGTCTCACCCACGCAAAATGAAATACGAAATCGTGCCACAATCTTGAAATTAGCATAAAGAAAAGAAATTGCTTGCAAATGAGGAGCACAATTAACTTGAACAATTCAAATCAGAAAAAAAAAATTTTAATGTCTTATTTTGAAGGCTGGCAGTGGCTTCTCCGGCTTTGACAAGAGAGCTTTTGATTCTTTGGTAAATAGGGAAATCATTGCGATTTCAAAATTATTGATTCAGGCTGGCAGTGGTTTTGAGGCTTTTAACAAGCGGTCCATTTGAAGAAGATGTGTTGCTCTATTACGTGAGGACTGAAACGACTATCAATAATACGCGCCCGATGTTTCAGATAGCTTGTAGAAGCGGTCATATCTCTTCTTCTCAGACATAATTACACCTTAATCCACCCTTGATCTCTCCATAAAAGCAAATAGAGAAGTATAAAATGTGTGAAGTATTTAAGACTTGTGGAAATGAAAGATTGTTAATACATGTTCATAAGTTATAAGGAACTAAATCACGTAATTTATTATTCACAGAGACGAAAATACCCATAATGATTAAAGAAGTTTTGTGTGCTCAAACAGTTAATCTCAACAATCGCGATATGAAAAGGAGTAAATATATAAGAGATTTCTCCCGTGACAAATAAGGCAATGATTCACAGAAAATCACTAGACATACATTTTTTGACAACCTTCACGAAGAAAGAATTCTATATGATATAGAAAACAAGGAAAAACAACGCATGGACGAAGAATTAACAACTATGAAAACAAATGAGATTCCTATAATTTACCTTCCACTTCATTCTTATAAACATAACTGCACATTTCACCGTTTACTACCTTGTGACACGTTGGCCAAAATATACATCTGTAACTTTTTGGTCAGCGTAGTCGACGACAGTTTGAACATACCTGTCAGGGTCGGAATAACATATTAAGCCCAGGGCTATGAAGAAAACAAGCGAACAGATATGGCAAGGCCTGAAAGAGGGAATGCTTGTATGCTTGTGATTTTCACAATCAAGCTTTTACCTTCTTTCTAAGAAAAACCCAATTATATAAAACCACATAAATAAAGCTTGCTCAAGAACAAACGAAGGATGTAACCAATGTTTTGGTATGAGTAGAACGGGTATAAGCCATTGCAGACAATACATAGCTGGTAAAAAATATTCAAATTAATGCAAATATAAAGAGCACATGGGAAAATGCAATTTACTTTAAAGTTAAGAAATATTACAACGATTTCAAACACTTGTAAAGAGAGTGAAATGAATCCGACGAGAACTGCAGCTCACGCTGTAAAAAACGTGCAGTTTTGTAATTTAGTCATGCGTAGTCTTGCATTTGAATATTTAATATAAGATGCCTTTTTTTCTTTACACAAAAACAGAGGAGAAAGTTTTAATGTTTATTGAAACGTTTGAAAACAACATAATTACGCAAATGAGATCATTTTATCGGCTAGTAGTAATTGGAAAGGATTCAAAACACCCGAGTGAGCAAAGGTTGGTGAAAACACTGTTGCGAAGTCCAATGATAACGAAGCAACGAATTGGCTTTTTCTCAAAACTTCAACGCCGCCATAGGCACATCTATGCTAGGGAGTGATTGACGAGTGGCTAACATCAGCTTTCGCTGAAACATGTGTGTCACTTTGGATACTTGAGAAAATGTGGCAAAACAAGATTTTCCCGGAAGATCTTCCACCCGCTTACCTGCTCATGATGCCCCAATTTGATTTTCTCGACCACAAATGCAACAATCAAAGCCCAAGCCTTACGAACTGTCTCAGAACGACATCTGAATTTCAGGAGTTGAATGAAATTTCTTCACACCATAAACCACCTCTTATCACCCCATTCCAGAGTGCAGTCTATAAACGTTTCCGCCACAATGTTCCATAACTTTCCTGAGTTTAACACATAAATGCATGTTTATGTCTAATATATACCTGTTAGTTCTCCTCTAAGTAAACGAGCATGAACTTTCCCTATTCTCATCAATTCATCAGTCATAACTTCCAGATTGTACAAATTCTCAACGACCTGCAATTAGATCGTTTAAACTTGAGATATTGACACGTTCAAGATGAAGGTCAAGTTTCACGTGGTATGATATTGCCGTGAATTCATTCTCACATAAAACATATGAGAAGCGGTTGCATTCAAAATGAACATTGCGACGAATTCATAATTCATAGGTTTCAGAATAAAAGATGAAAAATTTTTTTCTGATAATTTACTTGATCGATAAGTTCTGCCATAGCTTTACTGTGAGCTTTGATGAAACTGTCATGGTTTTGAAATTTGGGTGGCAATGGAACACGACGGATTTGTTCTTTGACCTTAACATTGCATGTGAGAATAGAAAACGAAACAATATAATACCACAGGACTTTTGAAGCAGAGTCTATGGTATATGCTTTGGCCAATAACGGTCGGTCCTTTAGTTGTGAAAACTTGGCGCCATAAAGATCTGTAACAGCCCTTTTAATCTAATGTTAGGACGGAAATGTATGTAAAAGAATAATTTAAGAACTTTGCTCTTTGAATGCTTATTTTTTATATTTTCAACCGACCTCACGAGATGAATTTGTGCTTGTGTAAGTGGAATGATTGTAGTGCTGGTCCGTCTGCCAGTAATTTGATTAACAAGCTAAATATAGTTTTTTGTTTCGTAGTCTTTAATATAAAAATCTCACCTGGACATTACTTTGACGTCGTTGAGCCATTAGATTCTGTCGTGCTTTCTCGCTAGCAGAATTTCTTCGTGGTGTTGAAGGTGGCATTGTTTCACCTGTTGAGGACATATCGAAGCTGATCTGAAACTGTTGAAATAGAAAGATATGTGAAGCATGTGGTTTGCTCTAATCTTATTTACTTTTTTATATTTTTCTCAGAAGATTATAAAGCTAGAAAGTTTTTGTGGAGGATTCTTTTTATTTTAAATATTTGAATAAACATATAATTGACTCACTGAATACGGCTGGTCTTTAAGAATTGGTGCTCGCTTGTTTTCCGCCACTGAACTCATACTTCCAGAAGCTGTCGTCGTCGTCGTCAATGTCGTTACAGCTAAGGTTGTCGTTAAAGTTTCTGATGGGCTTGTGTTTGGAGTTGTAGTGGCGAGAACGTTTGTCCACTCAATTTCAGGAGGCGGAACAGGAGATCGACGTTCGTCAGAAAAAATAATTCGCTGGGGAGATTCGGCTTCGAATGAAACGTGAACCTGCAATAAGTAAAATGTGAAAAGGGTATGAGACTATTGCTTTTTGAGAAAAGTGAGTGGCAGATGTTAGAGAAGCTAAGAAGAAGAGGAGACATAGCCGAAAGCTAATCTTAGTGAACGATTTGAATTCCACTATGTACATAGTATAACCATATATGTATATGGTTAAGAAAAAGGATATAAAATAAAAATAATTTTGTACTTTGAGGGAAAAAAATTGTCGTTTGAGCTTGCTGATTTGACAGATTCAAGAATGATGCTGTTTCAATCTCTAACAAGCAGATTACATGAAACGATGAAATGGGAACTTGGAGACTGTTAACTGTCTCTTTGCGTGCCTTACGACTTCCTCCATTTTCGAAACATTCAAATTCTTTTTTTCTTATTTGAAGCCGTAAGTGAAGACACAAGCTTGAAATGGAAGAGCAAATGCTGAGCTAGATGTAGTAGATGAAGATTCTTCTACCACGGTAGAAAAAGCAGTAAAGGAAATAGCTGAGATGCATGTATTTGGAAAGCTTGAATGTTGTTAAAGATTTTCATCAATCAGGAAAATAAAAATAATTTTAAAGATCTATAAGTTCGTTCTCATCAATCTCAATAAAGATATGAAAAAATAAATATAGAGAGAGAGCGACTAAGACATCAGAGGGAATGAGAAGAAATGGGAAATATCCTTACATTCCCTGTTCTTCCATAATCAATGAGTTTTGAATATCAAATCTAATCAGATGGATTAACACGATTCTCTGCTTATCACTTTATATTTCTTGTTCTCTCTTTCCTTTCTATCTCTCTTTCTCTCTATCACTCTAGAGTTCCAAAATAGGAGGTGGGAGTTGATGGAGGGTGTGAAAGCCAAAAAAACAATGAAGAATGAGGTCTGCTGGTAAAACGGATGAAAGAATGTGTTCAAACGGCATGCCTCGATGACGAATGTTGTGAGGGAGAGAAGTTGTGAAAATGTAAATTTTAATGTAATTTGGGGGGGAGTTTATGTTTTTTCCTCTCGTTCCAATAGAGCGTCATTATGAAAATAGACTTGTAAGTGAATGCTCACAAGGGGAAACGAATAGAGAGTGTGAACAAGCCGTTATGCTTTATACTGAACATTGGTGGAAAAATTTTTGAAATGAAAAGATTGACAGGGAAATCATCCTTATATGCTTTTCCTTTGCTGTTTCCTTTTTCGAAATCTGTTTAAAGGAAACCATAATGAGAAAGAGAAAGAAAAAAAGAGAGAGTGGTGGGGGGAAGGAGAGGTAGTGAGGGAGTGGTAGATAGAGATTGAAAGAGAGAATCTAGACATAGAAAGAAGAAGAAGAAGAAGTATCTGCTACTATGAGAAGCAGAAATTCTATTTATATCAGATCAAAGATTATCACATGTTCATAGGACATACACTAAATTAGGTGTTAACTGTTAGTGCTAAGCATTAAGCTTTGAAAGCAGCGAAGGTCACTTTGCTAATGTTACATTAAGGGTTTCTCCTCTCCTCCCCTTTCTTTGTAATATTCAAATGTGATGTAAACATAATACTTATCCATCTCTATCTATATGTATAAATGACATACCTCAGGAATTTGAAAACGAATTTGCCTATTCGGATTTTTGCGGATTCCCCTCGGAGTAGCTTTTGGAGTTGATGTTGTTATCCTTAAAAGTCATATTCATTATACTAATAAATGAAACATTGTGAAAATTCATCTAATACGTACTTATCTAAATATGGATTCGGAGTATTGTCGTCTAAGTCTGGTGCTGGAACAGGATAACAATCAGATGTGCGATCACGAAAGGACTGCCGTCGAACCTGAAACAAGCATGAGCATCATGAGTATATGATATACACATTATAGCTAATTAATCACAAAAATCTTCAGTTTATAGCCGGATCTTTATGCTTTTGTAGTTCAGAAGCCTTTCGTCATTATGTTTGTTTGGTGTCAAATGATGATGCGAAAGGATTGAATGGAAGAAAAGAAAACTGGGGATAAGGATGAGCAGTAGATGAAGAAGGAGTAGGAGGAGGAGGAGGAGGACAAGAACAAGAAGCTTCTCTATGCTCCAACTTTCACATCTGAATACTTCTATAGAATATGTTATGTATATTCGGCTGTTTGCTTTTTGCTTTTTCCATTTTCAAGTAAATTTGCCGTTTGGAGAGAAACGTCCGTTATAAGTGTAGTTCTTGGTGTAGAAAGCAATATAGCGAAGGAATGAGAGGAAACAATTTAAAGCGCAAAACAAACATGAGTTCTTAGATCTTATAAGCTATATCTATCTGTGCTGTAACCAAAAATATAATTTATACAGTCTATATATATATATATATTATATATGAATATATGAAGTAGATAGAAGCAGTGCATGTTGTCTACAAAAATATGAAACTGGCATAAACGAGTCAAATCTCACGTAAATCACGTGAGTATTTAAGTTACAACAACGACACACAACGCTGTCTACAATTTCATTTTTGAATTTTTTTCTTTTGTTTGGCAGAACGATTGTTTATAGTTAGCTATTATCAATCTAGTACATAGCCAATGTGCATTGATAGATGTAAGCAGTATGTCGGACATTATGCCGCATTTGAGGAAAATAAGAAGCACACACACCCAAAAAAAAGTGTGCGCAAGTAAGATTATAGCAATGTGACATTAAGCTGAGAGATGTGTCGGAATGATTGATGGCAACTGCATAGTTTAACTTTTATTTAATATTACAGTGGATAATATGACCAGTACTTATAAGTTATTATTTTTGATAATGTTTCATCATCAAGTTGCAAGCTTTGCATCTTTGATGCTGCTTCTGCTCAAATCATTATATGAATTCAATTCTTCGCGAAACGGTTTTTGCAAATGAGTTCATATCCTACCTCGCTTTTGGAACGTCGGAATAATCTGCGTATCATTTAGTATATCGTATAAATGAATATATCTAAGTTATTATATGTTAAATGGATAAGGAGAGTGAGGTGAATATGATAGAGAGAGATATATTCAGATAGAGAGAGAGATGGGCCAATAGATATCTTTCGTGATGTTGCTGCAGTTACCGAATATAGAAATGATATCAGAAGTATCGATAGATGAAGCTAGATATTCATGATGAAATGAAATTTAAATAAAAATTTTTGGGAAGAAGGATATGTCTGAACTCTCAAGGACAATATTCAGATGAATGGATGAGAGGACTGTGACAACGATTGTGCTGAGCAATGATGTGATGTGCATCCAATCAGGGAAGGATTAAAAGGAAAAGAGTCATGACAAATTGTAAGTTTCTAAAATCTTATAATCGTCGTCTCGCTTTGAATGATTATGATGAGCAAGAAGAGGAGCGTACGATGAGGATGATGATGAGTAAGCTGAGCCTCGAATACTGGCTGTAACTTGTATCATTGACGTCTTTTTTTTCTCATTTTTATCTTCAATGCTTCTTCATCTTCTTCATTTCCACTTAAGAGGAAATAATGCTAAATGATGCTTCTACTTGCTATGTGTGGTTGAAAAAAGGTTTTCTGACAAGCCTTTCGACACCCGAAATGGACCAAACAGCCATGACCGGACAATTCCAAAGGCTATAAGCACCGCATCTTTTGCATTGAACGACAGTGCTTAAATTTTTTTTTCCATTGTAAATGTCATCAAAATTCGTCTAGCAACAGCAAGATAGAGAGATAGAGGAAGAAAGAGAGAGAAAGAGAGAGAGAGAGTAAGTGGAAGAGGGTAATGATACCCTCGCAGTTTTGAAAATCTGATTAAGTTCATTTGAAAGCTCCTTAATGAAATCGAAAATGATGATGCTCCACCCATCTTCAGATCATTATTCATCTATGAAATGTTTTTTTTTATTTCTGACAATGAGCATTCATGGTTCTCTCATTTCAATTCATTAAGATGTTCAAGTAGTGTTTTACAATGTTTTTGTTTTGTGAAACCTTGTTCATCCTTTCTTTCATGTAAGCTGACCACACTGGAACAACAGATGTTTTTTGCTCTTTCTCGAACTTTGAGAGAGAGAGAGAAAAAAATGTTTCATGTGGTCCTTGTGAATGTCTGTACCAGCAGTTGACAACATGATGAAGACATCTCTGTTAAGTATGGATAGAACTTGTTGCCTCAACCACCTTTATCCTCAGTCACCTGGGTCCTTCTAACAATCCGCAAACTTTTCAAAAGTAATCTGATACTTTCAAAAAAGAAAAAAAAAAGAGAAAAATGTTGTCAGACACTATGAATAGTTAAATGAAATGGATGTGTGAAGGAAGAGACCCAGCCATTGTAAGATTAGCTTCTTCAGACATAAAGTAAAAGCTTATAGTACCTGACGTCAACTGGCTGTCTACATTGTGTCAGTCGGCGTCAAATGAGAATGTTGAAGATAAAGAAAAGCCGACATGTATATTCAAGATCTCTGCTTTACCTCGCTCATCCCTCCCCCCACATCTAACAGCCTCTGGCTAAATCTCAACTCGTCGTAGTCCTTAGTCTTAGTTGGAACGTTCAAGCTGATAGCAGCCGTTGGCTGACAAGTTTCTATGCTTTTGTGACTTTGCGCTTTCATTCATCCCTTCAACAGAAACGTCTAACGTTGCAAAGCTCGTTTTAAGATTCTGATTCTCAAAGAAAATGCGTTCAAGAACTATAATTGTTGAAATGTGAAGAGATGAGTGATGAAGAGGTAAGGTGAAGCTTATGGATCTTATGTTTCACTCTCTTCATCAAAAAAGTGGATTCCATCTGTCGTCTCTTTTTTTCTTTTTCAAATCTCTTGAAGACCAAGGGTCGAGATGAGACAGTTTAATGTGGTAGTTAATCATAGTCAGTGATTTTTATAAGAAAAACGGTACACCCCCTACCTCAAGAACTTGTTTCAAGTTGGGCTCCTCAAAGAAATCTTCATACTCTGGTCTAGGCTGCCTAAGATTACCAGCGGATGAGCTAATAACTTGAAGAGGAACGTTCAATAGATCAATCATCGAAGTAACTGACCAATCTTTCCATTTCGACGAGCATCATCAATTGAATTATCCTGAGAATCTTGTCGAAGCCGGATAAGGGAGCTTCTCCATTTGCGTATAGTGTTTGTCTTCCTGTCACTTATCCATTGCCAAATTTTTTGCATATTCTCTCTGAAATAACACAAAAAAAAGTGTAAAGAGAATGATATGAGTACGTGTAGCTCACCTCATGATCTATATTTCCATTTGGAAGGATCTCTTTCGACCTCAATGCCGCTTCTTATCTCAACACAGACACTCTCTCTCTCACTCTCTCACTCTTCCTTTTCTTAATTCAAAGAAATATGAAGTTATCGTACAATGGATTTGATCTGAAAAATATGAAAGAAAATTAGATAATCATTGAACATATTACATGAGATTCATCACGAGATTCAATACAACAGGGTATTAATGGCATATAGCCATCTCTATGATATCTCATTAGCTTGGAAAAATATGAAAAGCCGCTATAATTTCATTTTTAAAGGTATAGCATAATCATGCGGTCGTTTTTGATTGTAAAGAAATTCAATGCAACTGCTGAATCTTCAAATCAAAAAACGATATGAGGATGACGAAGAAAAACGAAAGAAGCGAATCACATCTGAGAGCTATGATGATCTGAGATGTGAATGAGATGAAATGAATGATTATACCTTTGCTAGCCAAGCACTTTCTCATCATTTTTTTATTATTGTTTTTAAAATAATTAAGAAAATACTAATTAAAGATTGAGAAGAAGCTCACTTGAAGCTAGGTGATAGTTAAGAAATATAAATAATATGATCTGTCTTCTATCTGCTCACAGCTTGACAAATGGAATTCTCTTTTTCTTCTCATCTTCCATTGAATTTTCAGCTTTTTCTTAGTCTCTTCCCCTTCTCTCGTGTTTGTGGTAGTGGTTATTGAAGTTAAGATGGATAGAAATGAAGAGAAAAGGTGGATAATATGAAACGTTGACTGTTAGAGATTTAGAGAAAAGTTCAGATTGAAAAGAGACGAATGTTCTTTCTTTCCTTTTCTACCTCTTCTTCTCTTCCTAAGCAATTGTCCGTCATCAACCCTCCCTACTATCATGACCAGAGAAAGAGAGAACAGAAAAATCTTTATAGAGAATGAGAGAGAGAGAGTGAAAGAGAAAAGAGGGAATGGAAAAAGAAGGGAGGGATAAAGAACTCTATGATGTTAGAATGCTGCTTAGATGAATCAAGCTTGACAATTCTTCTGCCAATTCTCAAATTTTGAAAAGTTTCAGTGAAATAAATCAATTCGATGGACTTTATGATTTTTATATACGTCAACTGTATAAGAGATTGATGATTAGTATCATTTAGAGAGAGAGAGATGAAGAGCTATGGATTACGTGTATGCTTCATCTGAAGAAGTGTTAAGATCACAAATGATTGAACCTTACCTGCTTAATAGTGCTCGCAACTGATCGAATAAGCATTCGGTCTATTTGATCTTCTTCCAAAATCTTTTCGACATCTTGTCTCAGAACGCAAATCTGTCATAAAGACATAAGTATGAGGAACTATTAAGCTAAGCAAACGTTTTCTATTTCCATCTCATTTCGGATGAGCCAATCTCTAAGACGATCCAAAGAGTAACTGACAAGCTTTTCATCCATCACATCCTACATGTACTATGCTAAGTCGAAACTATATGAAGATGTAACTATTTTACCCCATTTTCAATAGACATGATCAATTGATCAATCTCACATCGAAGCTTTTTCTCTTCAAACTTTCGAATACATCCTATGCTATCAAATAGCTGGAAAGCTAGACTTAAGTTTATAACAACAGATAGGAGAGTTTTGACTTGCAAAACACTCGTAGTAAATTTGTAGAAAAAAAAATAATCAACGAACCCATGAAGCAGGAAGTTCATCATTATCTTCATCAGATGTTAATAGTCCTCCGTTTCTAAAGTTCATAGCAGATTGATTGAAATATTCTGTTTTTAATATAATTTTCTGTTATTTTATATAGTATTACAGATATTCTTACCTACAAGAGCGTCTTTACGTTCTTGTTCTTCATCATCTATTTCAATAGCTGTTTCTGTACTTGAAGATGGAACTATGCGAGCATGTGAGATACTTCTGCCGGTTATTCGTCTTGCTCTTCGTCTTTGATTCGCCATTATCATACTTGATGTTTACGTGAAGCTTCAATAAATTGAAAAAGAAATACGACCGCTCACCACTAACTGAATTCTCAAAATACTTTTACACGTATACACGTGATCATTGGAGTTCGTTTGAAATCTTGTGTGTTTCCTAAGAACACTTCTCTTACTAAAGTGCTCTATTTATTCTAACAAAGCAGGTAAGCTCAAATGTTTTCAAAGTCTTCATCTCATCC